TTCTATAATACTATTACACATTGGATAACTGCAAACCAACAATTTTAACAAAATTCTAACTTTGAAAGATTAAAACTTTGTGTTTGCACATTGGATAAAACTATTACCCCTTGGATAATACCATTATCCATTGGGTAATACTATTTCACATTGGGTAACCAACACACATTTAGAACAATACATTGAACATGGAAAAGCTTTGATTTCATTTACAACGTAGAATAACATACTTTCGACGGGTTACGTGAGACATTTCTTCAACCATTATGCTAAGTCACGATCTTATAATCGTTAAATCTTAAATGAGCGGGAGAGAAAATCCATGATGGATTACTACGTTCATGTTAAAAGGTAAAGATACCCGAACGTGGATTCCCCAAAACTCGTGTATGCTTGGATCATGTATTACATTGCATATCATTGTATATTACATGAAAAATATGTTTATGAACTTCTGCTCATTGAAAATTACTTCAAATGAATTGGAATATAATTGAAAATAAGAAAATGTTTTTGTGTATAAAACCTATGTATCTCACGAGACGAAATTCTTACATGTTCTAATTTATGTGACATGTATCCTATGTACGATTTACTTATTAGTGGATAGAAGTATAGAAGTCCTACAAGACTTTTACATTTAGAAAATGATGACCATATGATAGATAGTTCCCGAGACAGTATAGTTATTCCATGATATTGAGGGATATTAAATTTTAGGTTTAGTGAGATCTCATACAAATTATGTAATATAGTTTTAATTGTCATATGTTTTTGTTTAGCATGATTCTTATACTTTTTCATGTTTGGGATGATTCGGTTGCAACTGAATCATGCTTCATCCTATATTTAAGATATCCCGGTCGTGGATAAAAATAAATGTGGTGTTACAGATTATGCTTGTAGTAGTGCACATAGGAGATCGAGTGGGTTAGTTTATTTATGGAACCCTTTAGTTTTTCGTAAGCCATATGTCATGTGTATTTACAATATGATCATTGTTGAAGGAGAATGAGTATTTTGTAAATTCATATGCTACATGATAAACATTTATGCTTTGAGATGATTTTGCTAAATGTTTGCTCTAGAATTCAATTTTGATGTTTATGAGACAACACACAAACTATTATATGATGTTTGGTTACTTCAATGAAGTAAGGGAGCCGGTTGAGAGACTTGGTTTTGCGTTCTCTCAAAATTCAGCTAATCATTGTAATGATTTTATTATGCAAGAGGTTTTACACGATGTAAAAATGAGGATGGGGGTTCTTTTATGAGAATTAGTTCGAATAGGAAAAAAACTAAGTAAACTTGACAAAGATTTGGTGGATGAGTTACTTGAAATTTTCCATAATATTATTTGACTAAGCAATTACTAGTTTTGTATCAGATCATCGATTGACTATCTTGATGAACATGATTAGTGACTATGGAGTTATTCCATTCAAGATCTATAACTCTTCGATGGATATTGAATGCTTTGATGGATCGTAATATATATATATATATATATATATTATATATATATATATATATATATATATTACTATTAAAAAAATTATTGCACGAACCATTCATATAAATGTTTTAAAATCACCTTAATGTATTCATTATAAACCACTTATCATAATTAATTAGTATTGTTAACTAAATTTAAATATTATTATTTTATGTTTAAATAGAGATTTTATTTTTATTTTTACATTGATTTAACATTAATTAATTAATTTATAATCATTACTAAAAATAAAACTGAAAAATCATTAGAATTTCAAATACATGTGGTGAAAAGAAAAATGTCTCTTTTATAGAATAGTATAGAGTATAGTTATATATAGATATATAGATTTATTTATTTATTTATTTTCATTTAAGTTTCTTTTAAATCCTTGTAATTAATTAAAGTTCTAATTAATCCCATTTTAATTAATTTAATCGCTTAAATATTATACTATTACATTTTCATCATTTTGTTCATTTTGTTCATCAAAATAATTATTTGTAACATTTTTACTCTTCCTAAATTCTGAAATTCCTAACCCTAAAGTGCAGGTGTCACATTAGGTATCCAAGTTGGTGAAAAATATGGCTAGAGTTCAAGATTTGAGAAAATTGGTGGATTAGTATTAGAAAAAAAAACTTTCTAAATGGAAACTTAATATGTTCTCTACATGCTGTCGATCCATGCTCATGTCTTGGTTCTTGGATAAATAGGAACTTATTTATGTATTTTTTTCGATTTTCCGTGCGGGTAAAAAAATACTCCTTGAAGCGCTTAAAGTCATTTTTTGGGGGGATGAGATGATGAGTCTTGAGTCTTGACAAATGTGTTGGACTAAATGAGATCTCTTGGCTGAAAAAGGAAATAAAGGGATTGATATTGGTGGGGTTGAGTCGTTCAATTTGACATTGATTCATAAATCAAGATTAAGATTCATTACAAAAGAAGGTGTGTTATGGGTTAATGTTGTGCAAGCTTTACACAATAAGGATGGTGGTTTTCGGTCTGGTGAGTCTTGGGTTCGAGGATCCAGAGTTTGGCCTCGGATTGTTATGTCAATTCGTAAAATGAATGAAAATGAATTCTTTTATTGTTTACCCTAAGAAAACTGGGTATCGGTGATAAAATGAAATTATGGATCGGTCTGTGGGTTGGAGATATCACTTTAAAAAATCGATTTCATAGAACTTTAGCATTAAAGACTAATAAGGAGTGTTTGATTAGAAGTAGAAAGGATAATAACTTGTGGAGTTGTAGATGGAGGCGTAGTGTTCACGGTGGTATTGAGAACATACAACTACATGGCTTGTTGGAGCTCATTTACGGCTTTTTCGAGATTAGGGTGGATGATAGATGGGTTGGGGTTTAGACATGTCATCTGATTTCATGGTTAAAGATACTAGAAAGTTTATTAGAATCTACTAATGGTGAAACAAGGTGGAATTGTTTCATGTAGCAAAAAATAAACATTATAGTTTGGAGGGTTTTGGTGAACTGGCTTCCTACATAACAAAACTTGGTTGATAAAACAGTTGATGTGGCTTCGGTCTTATATCTCGTATGTTCTGAGCATGTGGAAAATATTGCATTTGTTTGTCAAGTGTGAAGTCGCAACTCACACGTGGACTGCTATTACTCGGTAGGTAGATTTCGGGTTACCTTATTGGGATTCGATCTCGGCCATTTTTGAGTGGGTGGATTCGTTGCATTTATTGAGCACAAAAAAAGTTACAGTGGTTGCTATTATGATGACTACTTTGTGTGATATGGAAGTTTTGAAATGACATTATCAATATATTATTGATTATGTGTGTGTGATTTGCTAATTAGAATCGTAACTAGTCATAAAGTCCATTGCTAATTTATTGTTTACCCTAAGAAAACTGGGTATCAGTGATAAAACAAAATTTTGGATCGATCTGTGGGTTGGAGATATCACTTTAAAAAATCAATTTCATAGAACTTTAGCATTAGATACTAATAAGGAGTGTTTGATTAGAGGTGGAAAGGATAATAACTTGTGGAATTGTAGATGGAGGCGTAGTGTTCACGGTGGTATTAAGAACATACAACTACATGGCTTGTTGGAGCTCATTTACGACTTTGTCGAGATTAGGTTGGAGGATAGATGGGTTGGGGTTTAGACAGGTCAACTGATTTCATGGTTAAAGATACAAGAAAGTTTATTAGAATCTACTAATGGTGAAACAAGGTGGAATTGTTTCATGTAGCAAAAAATAAACATTATAGTTTGGAGGGTTTTGGTGAACTCGCTTCCTACATAACAAAACTTGGTTGATACAACAATTGATGTGGCTTCGGTCTTATATCTCTTATGTTATGAGCATGTGGAATATTTATTGCATTTGTTTGTCAAGTGTGAAGTCACAACTCACAAGTGGACTGCTATTACTCGGTAGGTAGATTTCGGGTTTCCTTATTGGGATTCGATCTCGGCCATTTTTGAGTGGGTGGATTCATTGCATTTATTGAGCACAAAAAAAGTTACAGTGGTTGCTATTATGATGACTACTTTGTGTGATATGGAAGTTTTGAAATGACATTATCAATCTATTGTTGATTATGTGTGTAGAATCGTAAACTAGTCATAAAGTCCATTGTAATCCCCCACCACCCTCTAACCCATTGGTAGTGTGGTATATACTATTAAATTAAATTATAAGTAGAAGAATATTTATTCCACAAAAGTTAAAATACAAAAGTAACATCAATTATTTGTATTAAGTGAATAACAAAAAGTTTTTCATTATAATAATAAAAATAATACCAATAATTGCATTACACTACATAAACAATATACATATGCATCTACAATATATATGAGATATTCATAGCTGCCATATAGTTATTTGAGTTGTATTTTTATTATAATAATGAGATCGATAATTTTTATATAAAAAACGCTAATAATTGTCAATATTAATAGTTTTTGTTAAGTAAAAATGCAACCAAATTGGTTTTATCTCAATATGTTATGTTTCATGCTTTCTCCATTCGTGGACTTATAAAAATGTATGAATAAAAATCGTTTGAATAAAGATGTCTGTATCAATATAGATTGTATTCTTTTATAGAAGGCAAATAAAAATATATTTTAATTATTAATATGTGAATGTTTTCATGTAATTTTATTATTTTAACATGATAAACAGTTAACCACCATAAGAAAAATAACAAATAATTTGATTCGATAAATTATCTAATTTTATATGTTTTTCTAACTTGGCAAAAAGACATGACTTAATGAGAAAATCCAAGATATTCTCCAATTTCTTACCTGGGCCTAAAATTTACATAGTTATTCCTTGTCTTACTTATACACCTCATTTATCTGAATGCAAATTTTGTTTTAGATTTTGTAAATATTATTTAAAAGAAAAATTAAATATCCTCCTTTAAAATTCTGTAAATCCCCAATTGACATTTGACTTTGTAATAAGTTTTTAGGGCAACTGAACTGAATATCATGTGTTTTTGATGAAAGTAAACCATTCATCTTCAGTTTTCACATATATCCCCATTTCTTTCTACTTCTTTTTACTACTTCCATATTCTTTCTTCTACTTCGTCCTTCTATTTTCAGCTCTGTTTCCTTGTATAACCCCACTTTCTACTTTCTTCCCTAACCCAATAGATCATTACACAACAAGAAGTTACCATCTTTCTTTTCAATTTTCATACATTATCTAGGGTTCATGTATCTTTTAGTTCGTACACATGCTTATACCTCTCAATTTCTTATGATCGAAGCCGAAGAAAATGTATGATCAAGGTCCTAAATACGCAGTTCACCCTTTTCATTAGGTACACATACATCACTCATGAAGTCAAACCATAGTACGGTAAGTCCCCAAATTCGGTTTATTCGTATAAGTTAATTTGTTTGCGATACTAGTTGTTAATTGGAAGGAAGTGAGAATCGATTGGGTATGAATCCTGAACTGGGTGGATATTGAAATTGTACCTGAAGATATGATTAGGGTTTATGCAATTGTTTGTTTTGATTCATAATATTTTCTATGTGAGAGTTTAAATGGACTGAAATTGTCTCTGGATGTTTCGATTTTGAAATATGATTGAGAAAAGTTAGAAGAATGGGGATCAATTATAAGATGGATCAATGATATGTGTTGCCAATTAATGTAAAACCATAGGATATGGTTAGATAAATGAAAAGTTCAGATTTTTATTCTATAATCAAAGTTAGTTTGAGCTTGTTTTGCTTGGTTTTTGGATAATATTGAATAATCAGTTATAATAAAGAGTGCAGCATGAGGCAGCGTTTGGATGTGGTTTAGTGGTTTGAAGATGTGATAGTCACTTTTGATAATGATGAGTGTTTGGAAAATCTGATCATTTAAGGAAGTAATAGATAAATTAAAGATATATAAGGTATATTACTCTACTGTGTGATGATCTGTTTTGCTGCAGCTAGTATCAAATTGATTACTTGACTCCTAAATAATTAGATTATCATAGGCAGAAGTAGGTTACCAAACACTAAAAACTAATACCTTAATTGATACAAATGATAGGTTCAATGGATTAGCTTTGGCACCCGATTTTTCTAATTGAAAAGGTGGATAACATAGAAATAGGGGATATCAAATAATCACTTTCAAAACACATTCATAGCTTACAACCAGTGAATACATTATACATCCATTCAGTTTAGTAAAAAGGGTCTACTTTTGTACTCTTTTCAATGTTCATGTAGCTTGATTATGATAATTTTCTCTATGATTAATTCCATATGCATATAAAATGTTTCCAGATCTTCATTTAGCTAAAAAGATTGTATCTTTTCACTTATCCAGAGGTAAGAAAACCGAGTGTGGATCACAATTGTGATGCTGAATGTTGCTTCCAGTTGTTGGGTTAGAGATGAATTCTGCAATGGATGACATCAGCATGATTCAACAACGCCATCATCTTGTGGTTCGTGAACTCGGTGGAGAAATTGATTTAGAAATTGGGCCTGGTGATGATGACCCTTCATTTTCCCACACCCCTTTAATTACAGTTCCACCACAAGAATCTTCAGCTGATGATCATGAAGAAAACAAGAACATGGCAATTGTGTCCCACCTTCAAAGTGAAGATCAAGAACTATTGAAATCACTTCCAGCTAAAAGAAAGAAGAAAGTGGTGAAAAGATGGAGAGAGGAATGGGCTGATACGTATAAATGGGCTTATGTTGATGTGAAAGAAGGGACAACAAGGATATTTTGCTCGATTTGTAGGGAGTATGGTAGGAAACATAGAAGAAATCCTTATGGAAATGAAGGGAGTAGAAATATGCAAATGAGTGCTTTAGAAGAACATAACAACAGTTTGCTTCATAAAGAGGCTCTTCGTCTCCAAATGGCTTCTAAAGATAAGATCATTGCTGATAAGCCCATATATGTAAAAGGTTGGTGCTGATTTTGTCTCTTAAATGAAAAAAAATATTAATTTATCAAAGTATATGTTGTAATGAGGACAATTTGAAAGTACAATGCTACAATTGGTTAAAATTTGTACCTTAATAAGAGCAAAATCGAAAGTAGATTGCTATTTCTTGATGGTTTAACTTCTATGACAGCTCTCATGTCAAAATCAGCTGGATCGATTGTTGAAGCTGCACTAAAAAGAGATCCAAATGAGCTTGAGTTCATACAGTCTGTGCAAGAAGTTATTCATGCTCTTGAAAGAGTTATTTCAAAAAACTCCGGGTGAGTTTGAGTTTGAGTTTTCTCATTTGATATTTAGAGTATTAGAGGTACCAATTTTGACCCATGTAACTAAAACGGGTCGATTTGGGTTTAAAATCCAATCCCTAAGAGGACACATGCGTACAATTACAAAAAAAAAAAAAACTTTAAAAGGGAAACAAACAAAACGCCCATAGTGTATTCAAATGCTTACACGCTCGTAAATTGTGTACAAAATTGAAAAAGGTGAATTACCCATTTTGACCTTGACCGATTACAACAGTTATGTGAACACAATGGAGCGATTGTTAGAGCCTGAACGCACGATTATCTTCCGAGTTCCATGGGTTGATGATAGAGGTGAAATGCATGTTAATCGAGGTTTTAGGGTTCAATTTAATCAGACATTGGGTCCATGTAGGGGAGGCCTTCGTTTCCACCCTTCTATGAACTTAAGTATTGCCAAGTTTCTCGGTTTCCAACAGGTACTAAACCCTAAACCCTAAACCCTAAACCAGGCATCCGATGATTTGACATTTTCTTTCTTTTATGTTTCATTGAAAAGACATTAAGAACTGCATTATCTCCTTATCGACTTGGAGGAGCATCAGGGGGAAGTGATTTTGATCCAAAAGGGAAAAGTGACAATGAGGTAGGTTATACTTATATAACTAGTGTCTTTAATCTTTATACAAAACTATAATTGTTATTAATAATTTTATTAACTTTTTTTGTAATTTATGTATGTAAGATTATGCATTTCTGCCAGAGCTATATGGATGAGCTCTATCGCTACATGGGTCCCGATAAGGTTCTTTTTTTTATTAATAAATCAATTATGTTTTCTAATTTTCATTTATTCTAAAAAATGTAATCTTTTTTTGTTGAAATATCAGGATCTTCCTTCAGAGGAGATGGGTGTTGGTACCCGTGAAATGGGGTTTCTTTATGGTCAGTATAGACGCCTAGCTGGACATTCTCAGGTGATGATTTGTTATTTTTATTTTATTGTTTTGTTTATTATAGCTATATAATTGGTTAAACTTATGTCTTAATAAAAAAATGTAATCTTTTTTTTATATGATTACACAGGGAAGTTTCACGGGCCCACGTCTTAATTGGTCTGGTTCTAGCTTGCGTACTGAAGCTATGGGTTATGGACTAGTAATCCTTCTTTCTCTCTCTCTCTCTCTCTAATTATGAGATTATGCAATTTGTTGCATTTATGAAGAAAATGGTTTGAGTTTGACTAGTCAACTTATGTTTTTTTTTTACAGGTTTTTTTTGCACAACTTATACTAGCAGACATGAATAAAGAACTCAAAGGACTAAGGTTTGACACCTAACTATACCATGATGCTATAAATTATAATATTATAATAAATACATGAAATTACATTGCTATTTCTTGCATTAAAATCTTTTTAATTTTGTGTTTCAAGATGTGTGGTTAGTGGGTCTGGAAAGATAGCAATGCATGTATTGGAGAAGCTCATTGCATATGGTGCTCTTCCCATCACTGTGTCAGGTAATTAAGCTTCAAGTTCTTGATTTCTAAAGATGAAAAAAAAATCGGGCAGGTTGGGCAGGTAGATAACAACTCAAAATGGAACTTTGGGCAGTTAGATAACAGTTAACAAGTCAAGAATTTTCTACAGATTCCAAAGGTTATTTAGTGGATGAAGATGGATTCGATTTCATGAAACTATCTTTCCTTAGAGACATCAAAGCACAACATAGAACTTTAAGGTTCTTATAATCGTATTCCTTTACAAAAACAACTTCATTTATGATTTATGATTTTTTCATATTTCTTTATTAACTTTTTATTTGTTATATTCAGAGATTATTCAAAAACTTATGCACGTGCTAAGTACTATGATGAAGCAAAACCTTGGAATGAAAGATGTGATGTTGCTTTTCCATGTGCTTCACAAAATGAGATTGACCATAATGATGCCATTACTTTGGTCAACTCTGGTTGTCGTATACTTATTGAAGGTAATCATTTTTTTTTCTAATTCTTTTGGGCCCCACATCTGTTACACATGACATGTCATCATGATTGATATGTGTTTTTTAGGTTCCAACATGCCATGTACACCTGAAGCCATGGATGTGTTGAAAGGGGCCAATGTTTTGATTGCTCCTTCCATAGCTGCTGGGACAGGAGGGGTATGCCTGTAATTTTACGTGTTATGATCTTATCTAAAATGGTATTCTACTTTCTTTGAATTGAATTTTTTAATCTTTTTGTATAAAAATTGTTCAGGTTGTTGCTGGTGAGCTTGAGCTAAAAGAATATAATTTGAACTGGGCACCCGAGGACTTTGAGTCTAAACTACAGGCAAGAAACAATTTCTCACTCTAATTTTTTTTCTTTATAGGGGCAATTTCGTCCAACTTATGTGAAAGTATAGGTCAACCTTTTAATATGCGAAATGACAAACAACCATTCTTTTCCCAATGAGAAAACTCGAAATGAAAATTGTTGGATTTATTATGAGATGTATGAAGTTTTAAGTTTTTTTTATTTTTATTTTTTATTTAAAATGTTGTTGAAAACAAAAATGGCAGGAAGCAATTAAACAGACGTACCAACGAGCTCTAAAAACAGCAGCTGAATTTGGTTATCAGAAAGAAAGTCCCGAGTAAGATATTTTATCAGTCAGTTCTGACTCAGTCAACAACTATCAAACAACCCCTAATTTATGTGTGTGTGTGTGTTAGGGCATTGATACATGGTGCAGTGATATCTGCATTTTTGACGATTGCGAGTGGGATGTCAGAGCAAGGATGTGTGTAGGTGGGACCGGTGACCCAACAAAACAGATATTGAATTATTGATGTGTACATAAAGAAAGTTGTAGGTGAAGATGAAGGTGAGGTTTGTTGTTTGTAGATGACATATTGTGTGTTTAAATTAAATTTAGTATTGGGTGAAAATGGTGGGCATAGTTGTAACTAATATAAGATAACTAATAAATTATCATGTGTTTTATAAGCTCCCGTTTAGGGTACATTTAAGTTGAGCATTCATTTAGACATTAAGCTTATTCCTATTCCTATTATTTTGATTTGTCACTTCTCTTATTAGCCTTCTAGGACTAATGATTCTGTGGCATCCAAGAAGGCATTAGGTGGAAACAATATTATTGCTTAATAGTCTCAAAACTTATTGCAAATACAAAGAGGATAATTTTATTTTTGAGAAAATGACAAAAAATAGTCGTAATTTAATTATTAATCAAATAATAGCAAAAAAAAATTAACATAATCTTAAATATAACCGCATATTTGGCAGGGGATCCATTGCGATTTGTAGTGGGCAATGGGCATTGTGAAATTCTATAAACGACGGCATTTAGCACCAAAAAACTTGTAAAATGGGTCACTGTGCAGTCTCACTATTAACTGTGAAATGAAAAAAAAAATACTGTTTTTTTAGCATTGCTAGATTTGCATTGTGTATACTATGAAATTGTTCATTTTAATTTACCAAATTCATGATTTTTTTTTTAATCAAGAAGATATCATTTTTTTAAGTTTTTTTTTTTGTGTTACTAAGGCCGGACGGAGTGGAGAGCGGGGAAACCACGGGAAACGATCCCGCACGAAGAAACACCGCACCGGGGGTGCGGGAAAGGGAACGCGGGAAGAAGGTGGGGGGGGGGGGGGAGAGAGTCCCACTCTCTCTCTTCACATGATTGGCTGTTGCTTTTTTTTTCTTTTTTTATTTCAAACGGCTATATATATATATATATATATATATATATATATATATATATATATATATTTTCTTTCCCTTTTCTTAACCTATAAATACTCAAACATTCTACCATTTTTTTTTAACCCATAACCTATATTTCTCTCCAAAAAATATTATTCAAAATGTTATTATCTTCATCATCCGATTCGACGGCTGTAGAGGAGGCTAAGTTTATCGGTTCCGTCATGGCGAAAACGGTTGCATACTATCAAAACCGATTATGCGAAACATCACGTGCACGATCTAACCTAAGAAAGCCGCCGTTGCGTAGAAATTACAAAGCCGGACACGATCGCCTTATAGAAGATTATTTTGCAGATGACGCCATCTACACTGTAAAGTTTCAACGTCGGTTCCGGATGAGGAAAGAACTATTCTTACGTATTGTTGGCGATTTGGAAGGCCGCTTTCCATATTTCCAATGGAAAATGGATGCAAAGCGGAAAAAAGGTTTCTCTCCCATTAAACAATGCACAGCTTCAATTCGTCAGCTAGCATACGGCATGAGCGCAGACAAATGGGACGAGTATTTTAGGATGTCAGAGCGTACCGTGCGGGAGTGTGTGTACAAGTTCTGCAAAGCGATCTGTTTGGTTTATAGGCAACGATATTTGCGCAAACCAACTATCAACGATATCCACCAATTGTACACGGTGCATGAAGGCAAGCATGGATTCCCTAGAATGCTAGGTAGTATCGATTGCATGCATTGGAGTTGGTCATTATGCCCCAATGCATGGCGTGGTCAGTACATGCGAGGCGACCACAAAGAGCCGACAATCATTCTAGAGGCTATCGCATCACATGATCTTTAGATATGACATGCATTCTTTGGTCCAGCTGGTGCAAACAATGACATCAATGTGCTAGACCAGTTGCCGGTATTCAACGATATCTACCTTGGAAAGTCGCACGATATACCTTTTTGAAGCAAATGGGGTAGCATATAAGCGTGGATACTATCTTACTGACGGTATATATCCTCCCTTATCTGTTTTTGTGAAATCGTTTACATGTCCTAACGACCCGAAAAGGAAAAAGTTTAAAGAGGCGCAAAAGTCAGCTAGGAAGGATGTGGAGCGAACATTTGGTGTACTTAAGAGATGTTGGCAAGTACTAACGGTCATGGCAAGGTCATATGAGGTGAAAAGGTTACAACACGTAATGTATGCATGTATCATATTGCATAATATGATTCTTGAAGACGAAGGAAGAGCGATATGCCGATACAACGAAAATGAAGTTTTGCCAAATGTCGAAGGAGTAGCCGTTGGTACACAAGAGTATAGGGTGAATAGAAGAGAAATACACAATCGCGACATTCATCACGCCCTTCGTGCTGATTTGGTGGAGCACATTTATAGGGCTCATATTCAGCCCCCGGTAGAGTTTTGTCACAATGATTTGTTTGACGAATCAGACGAGGATTCTGATATGTTCGTCGAGAGTGAAGATTCCGACGACGAGAGTGACGCTGGGGAGAATGATGCAGACGATCAAGGCGATGACGAAGACGATGAGGGCGATGACGAAGACGATGATTCCGAGTGACGTATTTTAGTTTAAATAAAATTAGGATATTAATTATGTTTTCTATGTTGTGGGTTGTTTGATTTTTTATTTTTTATTTTTATTTTTATTTTTATTTTTTTTTTATTTTTCTACTTATTTAAATGTTAGGTTTAATGTAATTTTTATTTTAATTAATGAAATGCTTTTTATTTTTAATTAAATTTTATGTTTGATATTAATTTAAAAATTATAAATCATAAAAAAAATTAATTTTATTTAATAAAAAAAAAAGTGAGGGAATGGCTTCCCACCCATTCATTGGCTTTTAGGTGAGGGAAAGGAAAGTTGGGGAAATGAGGGTATGGCCCACAAAAAGTGAGGGAAGCTTCCCCCCACACCCTCCGGTCTAATATTGAAAGACTATTTTTGTATCAAAAATTATATTGCGCAAACAAAGTCTTAGGGCGAGATAGATTTTACAAAAAAATTAGTATAAAAATGAGGAAAAGTCAAAAAGATAAATATATATGGTATATATGGAGAACCGATGATAGTGCATTATCAAGAGGTTACGATTAAGAGTGACAAATCAGATAGTTGTTTTGTGTCTTTAGCTGACATGATATGATACAACAACTTTTATATAACACAAACATGACATGAAACGATGTTGTGTTTTGTTTTACTAACACGGAAACAAACCAATTAAAAACAAAGTGACCAACACAACAAACACGAAAAAGATCAAACAAACCTTTATTTTATTTAATTCAAAATTAATCTTACAAAACACGACAAGCATATGTTAATATCGGGTCGAATCTTGAACACGAACACGCCACGATATGATGTCGTGTTTGTACACTTGAGACGAACATGAACATGAACACGAACACAAATTCAAATTTCAATTTCGTCCCATTTTTCTTTTTATGTCATTTATTTTTGTCGTGTCGTGTCATGGATTGCACCCTAGTTACGAATTTTATAGACTAAATTACAAGCGCCATGATGAGAGCCTAGTGGTTGAGGAGTGAAATTTCACACAAGGTCCCTGATTCAAACTATGACACACTCAAAATATTGCTAATATTCTGCAATTAACATTCCACATAAACTACTCACAGATAATATGATTTACCATTTTTATAGACTAAATTACAAATAGAGTTGAAAGAGGCCACATTCAACAATTGACCTCCCACATAAGCTACTCAGAGATGATATAATTTACCATTTTTATAGAATAAATTACAAATAGAGTTGAAAGAGGCTACATTCTTTATAATTTAGTCATCTTTATATCAACGGTTTGAACTTTGAACATGGAATGCCAAAAATTCAAAAAGGAGTATTTTATTATACATGTAACAAGAATTTGGGCCTCATTCTCAAGTCCAAAAGTTAGCCCAGTCCAAAATTGGTCGTCTGAGTTTAAAATTGCAGAGGGGTTTAAGTGTAAATAATCAAAGTATGAGGATCTAAACTAAAACCAAGCTAGGGTTTTGATGGAGGCATATATAGAAGAATTACGTCTCTATGATCCGTCTTCAAGAACTCTCACAAGGGAAATCGCCGCCTTATCAAAACCCTAACGGTATGTAATCTCAGCTTTAGCTACGGCGAATTATGTTCGTACATTTTAGTTTGTTAGGTCGTTTGTATGTTGAATGTTATCGACTCTGATTTTCAGTGAAGTAGGAGCAATGGCGACAGTACCAGGGCAGCTGATATGGGAGATCTTAAAGAAGAACAACTCTTTTCTCGTTAAGGAGTTCGGCAATGGAAATCAAAGCGTTCAGTTTAGCAAAGAGCCTAACAATCTCTACAATCTCAACTCATACAAACACTCTGGTAATCATTTCATCAATCAATACTTTATTTTTCGTTTGCGATTTTCGCGCCAGGGTTTGCTCTCCATGATTTTTGTACACAGTTTTCTTCTAGAATTTGTTATTCTCTACCACTCACCATGAATCAAAATTGAGTTGCTTTTTGTCGCAACAATTTGGGGTTATTGATTTGAATGATAGATTTTTGCAGTATGTTTGTTTCTAATATACTTGTAGGACTAGCCAACAAGAAGACAGTCACTATTCAGCCAGCTGGTAAAGATCAATCTGTGTTGCTTGCAACGACTAAAACCAAGAAACAGGGAAAACCTGCAAGTTTGCTTAACAAATCCATTATGAAAAAGGAGTTCTACCGCATGGCAAAGGCAGTTTCAAACCAGGTAAACCCCATTTTGGAAAAAAAAACAGTCTGTATTTAGCTATTAACTGATTCTGCAGTTTATATGATCTGAGATCTGTATGATGCTGGTTTATTTTGAATAGGTGGGAGATAACTATTACAGGCCAGATTTGAAGAAGGCTGCACTTGCTAGGTTGAGTGCTGTTAGCAGGAGTCTTAAGGTCTCAAAATCTGGTGTGAAGAAGAAGAACAGGCAAGCTTACAAGGTTGGTGGTAGGAAATGAAGCTCCGATTTGATATTTTTATCATAATTATCTTGTTATTCTATCATATTACTATTTGGTTTGCATGAGGATAGTTAAATGTGCAACTCGATTTGGTTTACACCAATTTTCAGAATACAATTTTGATGGTTTTTGGCCTGGTTATGAAGTCTTTACACTATTTGATTTGTGCTTTTGTTTTCCAAAGGCAAGCAAATTGTTTGCTTTTTGTTTGGGTGACTTATGATGAAAACTAATGCTTATTATTTGTGAGGCATATGCCAGTCTTTTTTAAGCAGTTTTGTGTGTTGTTGGTGATTAGGGTTGTAAATGAATTGAACAAAACACAAATTAGGGTGGTAATTAGGGTTGTTCATGTGTGTGTTTATTTGAGTTTTTAAACATAAACACACAAACGAATGAATGTCTTGTTAATATTTATTAGCTTAACAAAATACCTTGTATATGTTTGTTTGTTGTTAGTTTAAGCGGATGAATGTATAGGATCATAAACACACACATGAACATGAATATGCAAATGAACCACATGTTAATTATACATGGCCTACAATACAAACGAATGAATGTTTTGTTAATATTTATTAGCTTCACAAATTACTTTGTATATGTTTGTTTGTTGTTAGTCTAAGCCGATGAATGTATAGGATCATAAACACACACATGAACATGAATATGCAAATGAACCACATGTTAATTATACATGGCCTACAATACAAAACATCCAAAATGCCAAAGATAATTCAAAATTTAAGTAACATTAATGATTGTTCATGAACATCCAAAATGCCAAAGATAATTCAAAATTTAAGTAATATACAATACAAAACATCTACACATAAATGTTATGTTGGGGTAAAGCCGGTATTTTTTCACAAACTTAAGGGTGACTTTTTTTTTTTGTTATTTCCCTTTTAAGACTAAGCACATCAACATCCGTACGGACATGATATTTTGGAAAAAAGCGTTTGGAATAAATTGATAGCCACGGTGGCATCTGGAGGGCCGTGAACAACGTTGCGCGCAGCCACGAAAAGTCATGTGCATCTCCTCACAAAGCAATATGTGATCATCTTCATCTGGAACAATGCTTGCTTGGACCAAAATTTAACAACCTTATACTTGGAATCCGTGGTTCTAGCAAGAATCTTATTGGGGATGAAAATTTCTAACGTCTTAAATCACTCAAAATACTTTTTCTTTGTTATTTTTAAATGAATTAATATGTCATTATTATAGCAATTTGGTTAATAGATATCATATCATTATAATAATAAATTAACTTTTATGATGAACCAATTTAAAAAGAGATTTAAATAATTAAATTATATAGTTTTACTCGATCCCCCAATTAAAAATAGAAAATAACTCCTATTAACATATATCCATAAGATTAGGGCTGTAAGCGAACCGAACCGTTCCACGAGAAATTCGTTTATTTAATAAACGAACGACCTGAACAAGATATTTTGTTCGTTTAGTTAAACAAATGAACATTCATTTATGTTCGTAAATGTTTGTTTACATTCGTTTGTTTATGTTCGTTTACGTTCATACATTTATTTATTTGTATGTATTTGTTTGTTTAATTTCAAATCTATTTGTTTGTTTATGTTTATTTAAGTTCATTTGTTTATGTTATTTAATGTTAACTTATGTTCGTTTAAGTTCGTTTGTGTTTGTGTTCATTTAACAGTTAAATGAACGAATATAAATGAACACAAACAAACTAAATTTCTTAACAAACAAACACGAACATAGAATTTTGTTTGTTTAATTGTTCGTGTTTGTTTGTTTATCCTTTAAATTTATACGAACAAACACAAATAAACCCCCATTTGTGTTCGTTCGGTTTATTTCAACCCTATAGGATGATAAATCGAAATTTGCATCTAGTTGTTCAACCAATTTCCTATATTCTAATTATTGTTAGGTTAACAGTATAATGCAATTCATGTTAACCATAGTCCATAAGGCTGAGGAGAGTGATGTTCAACTCACTAAGCTCCACCTCAGCTTTAGCAAGGAAGATGAGAGTTTTGCCAAGTTGGGAAGAAGAGATGGGTTGGCTGCCGAGTGAGAGAGAAAAGATGGAGAAGAAGAGAAGGAGGAGGATATAATCTTTCCTCTACACAAACTCACTGAGTTAGCTCGCCGAATTCGGCATACCGAGCTTGTGTACAGCTGTTTGCCAGGTGACCTAGCAAATGCCGAAGCCACTACATACAACCTAAATATATGCTCGTTGTGTAGGTTCCATTTTATCACTCATGACACATGTTTTTTTTTTTTTTTTTTTTTTTTTTTTTTTTTTTTTTTTAACATTATTAACTAGAACTCAGCATAAACATTATAAAGAAAAATCTAATTCCACCAGTGACTAGGTTGTCTAAGTACAAATTGACAGACACTAGTACGTATAAAAATATGTAAAGATGAACTACTAGATAAGAAAAACGAATTTAAATAATCATGTTTTACCTATAAATGACACATCAAAAGCTCATTACAAAATTTAGTATGTTTTAGGGGTTGTTACAGTCATTAATCACAAAACTCAAATTCCACAACACTTGTCCGTTTTGTTCGTTTGTTTTGAAGCGCTTTCTCCAACCACATCCACAAAACATACTATTAATAAATACATTTGTTTGGGAGCAGTTATATACGTGTTCAAACTCACTCAACCGATACTTAGTTTCAAAATACTATAGTTTTTGGACACAAGTGAGGAATACATTACCATGATGTCATCAGTAGGTTTTGGCGGGAAAATGCATGGTTGGACTTTTTTCTTATATATAAATCCGTTTAGGTTTCAAGGTGATGCCTCTAGAACCCGTCAGGGGGGTTGCCCCCCGACCCCCATATACTTGAGTTCACATTTAACACTCCAAGTGTGCACTCATCACCTCCAGTCTTGGATAGTAAACTGAACTCAAACTGTCTCGACAACAATAATAACTAAACTAAAATATGCTGATAATACTAAAATTACCAACATAAATTAATATTAGTCATTTCATTAATTAAATAACAAATTATTATGTTAGTATTAATATTTATACAAGGCTAAGACCTAATCCTCAAGTAATTTAAGAAATGACTAAATATGTAAAAAAGAAACACCTATGAAAATATGTTATATGGTGTGAAAATATGTTACGTGGTCTGGAAATATGTTACTATTTATAAAATTCATATGCTGTGTATGTATGTACGTGGACCTATCATTTTAGGTTGCTTTAATATCATTAGAAAACTAATAAATCCAAAGTGACTTAGGTTCTGTTTGTTTTTTTTTTCTTCTAAAAAACCACTTCTGACCACTTATTGATGCGTCGCGCAGCACACACGCATCACTTGACCCTTCACACTTGTTTGTTTTTTAGAAGACTTCTGACTTAAAAACTGTTGCGCGTGTGCTGCGTGGCGCAACATTTGACCATCTGCTTCAAACATCTTCACACCTTACTTTAACTTATTGCAACAGTATGCGGATATTAAAAAACAAACAGATTTTTTATTACATGCTGCAGCTGTTTGGTCCCCCTCTTCTGCTACAGAGAGTTGAAGAGGTGGTCCGCAGACTTCATGCATTTTTGCTTTACAAAAACAAATGGCACCTTAACCACAATAGACAAATAGTCTGCAGTAGACCTTTTTTTGTGGATTTGTTGGTGGTTGGATATAAATATTTAGTGTTTTAATCTGAAACTTTGATCAATATTAATATCTTTTTATTTATCATTGATATTTAATGAGCTTGAATCTTGATAGGTTATATGTGGAAGAACATTATGACCCTTTCTTTTTCAAAGTAAAAAAAAAAACATTGATGACACTAGGCTTCTTCTTTGAATATTTGATGCATGAGCAACTCTTACACTTGAAAGCACTGCAAAAGGACCTTTTTCTACATCAAATATGTTTCTCTTCAATTTTTTTTTGTTATAACATTGAACTTTCATATTTATTATAGTCTATTACATTCATCTTAATGATAAGTAAAACATTTTAATGTCACTTATAGTATTTTTTTTTAATGTGAATCACATCATTTTACTTTTATCATAATGTTATTTATAGCATTTAACTTTCATTACTTTCATATTAATCTTGGCTTTAGCGTTTTTTTTTTCAAATATAGCATTCAACTTATAGTTACGGATTTCTCCAACAAGCTAAGGTGATGTTTGTTTTTTGTAAAAAAAAAAAATCTCCTCCGACAACTTATTGTTGCGCGGCGCAGCACACGCACAACACTTTCCATCCCGCAACAGTTTGGTTTTTGAAAGCCTTTAGCCTAAAAAAAACCCTGCGCGTGTTCTCTGCCATGTAACACTTGCTTTACCTCTTTAAACCACTTCTAGCCTAAAACCTAAGAAAAACGAGCCCAACATAAAAAAAAAGAACGCCGCTTTCTTGTTTCCCCCATCGAATCTATCACATATTCCTTCTCCATTCAACCTTCGATTTACAGCTTCCTTCTTCATTTAGCCTTTGATTCGCTGCCTCACATTGGCACATCAGCACATCGTCGTCCTCGGTCAGCCCAGCCTTCTCAGTTACCGCCTCAGCCTCCCTTCGTCGTCGCCATCCTCGTGAACAAGTATGTTTCCTTTCCTGAAATCAACAACTTTTAAAATCTATTGTATCCTCCTAAAATCAAATTTTCTTATTAATATTTGCTGAAATCAATGTTTCTTTTCCTGAAATTGATTGTTCATGAACTATCATACACCCACATAGATGTCGATTGCTAGATTCTGATTAATCTATTCCTAAAATTGATTGTTCATGAACTATCATTTGAGTTGTGTTTTGGTGGGATGTGGATACTAATCAGAAGATGAAATCGATTGTTGTGTTTTTTTTCCTATTTGTTAAAATTGCAGTTGGATATGTATGTGAATTTCATATATAATCTTGTATTCAACAGAGAGTAACAAGTCTCAGTAGCAATGCTAAAGGTTAACTAGGTTGTACTGAAATGTATGTTTTTTTTTTTATTTCTGATGTAGTTGTTGTAATAATCAAATTTGTGCTCCTGATTTGTTATTTATGTTTGCTCAATTCGTTTCTATTAACTTTTTTCTGAAATCGTTTTTGTTATGCAATTGTTGAAATTGCAATTGTTATGAAATCGTTTTTTGTTTATATTTTATGATTCATTATGAAATTGTTGCCGACAACATGTATACATAACATGATTTTGAGTGTTTTTTCATTTTCTTGATTACAACAGGAATCAAGAAACCCATGGAAACCCACAGGAGAAACCCATGAATAACTATCTGCAATGATAATCGAGGACTGATTAACAGAACAACTTGGTGATGATCATTGAGCATGTATTCTTTGATGTGTTGTTGAGATGATGAACAGATACCACATGGAAAAAGAACAAGAACAAGAACAAGAAGAATAGAAGTAAAGGTTTTAGATTTGAAAGATTCCATTTTTGTGTGGTTGGAGATGAAAAGAAAATGAATTTGTATGAGAATGATGGTTTTTGAAAGGTTTAGGAGTGTTAAATGTGACTCAAGAATTTGGAGCATTTGGATCATGTTCATGAAGCATTTGGAGCACTTGGACCTCAATGGAGCACTTGGGGTTCATGGAGCATGTGACAAAGGAACAGATCTTCTGAGAGAGGAATGGATCATCAGACAAAGGAACTGATCAAGTACCAAAGGAACGGATCGTGTTCAAGGGGGTTTGGAGCACTTGGAAGGAGTTTGGAGCACTTGGAAGAGGTTTGGAGCACTTGGAAGGGATATGGAGAAACAAGGGGTCCTTGTTGCGCGACATGATGAAGAGATGGGTCAAGAGGGATGCATGCGCCATCTTGTTCTCCTCTTGCACCAACTTGTTTTCTTGTTGAGCCATACATGGCCTTATTGAGCCATGCATGTGCCTGTTGCTCATGGTGATGTTGTTGCTCCAAGATTGATGTTGTGCGCCATACTTGATGCTCTT